CAGAGAGCCCGATGCGGGACTCGATCCCAGGACCCTGGGATCATGACCTGAGCCGAAGGCAGACGCTCAACCATCTGAGCCACCCAGGCGCCCCATTCATTTTACTTCTTACCTAAAACTATAACTCACACCTTAGTTCTGGCTCAGTTTCACAGCTTCTTTTCCTCTGCAATTTAGTAACTCAGTGTTTCAACAAATTTACCATTTGCTCTAGTCCCTCCTAACCACAAAGGAAGTTAACTGCTTGAGGCTTCTGCTACTTTAGAAATCTCTAATATAATCTTGTACATTTAGGGTTGATCAGAACCAGCAACAATCATGGTACACAAGAGACAAGACAAAAAGAAGTCTAACAGCTTTCTCTTAGAGATTTAAGTGAAGTATATGCTGGGACTTCTTTAGCATGTAGCTTAAGAAAGGGCTTTGAGGGTTCTCCTATGTAATAAGGATAACAGCTAGTATAGTATGTATTAAAGATTTGCTACACACCAAGTACTATGCTAGGGGGTTTACATATTCATTTAATACAACAACCCTAGGAGACAGGTACTGTTATTAATAAACCCATATTAAGATGAGGAAGCTGAGGCACAGAGGTTTCTTGTGCAAAGTTACAGAGTTAAGGAGTAGTAGAGCTTGGGATATGGGTTTAGAATATATTCCTAGCAACTGAGCTAATACTGCTATCTTACAAGCAAAATGGTCCAAAGAAATCAGAGACCAGATAAATTAAGGCCATGCTTTACTATGCGTCATTTTCATTCAACTATGAATGAAAATTGAACCGCTTTTTTGAACCACTTTTCAATTGGATAGTTTTGGCTGAGTCAATATAAGTATCACTTGTAAGATTTCATTAAATATTACATCAAGCAGTGCCAAGCCACACTGTCTCTAGAGCCTAATTAGATGTCTAACATTAATGCCTAACTAAAGTCAATTCATGTGAAAAAACTTTGAAAAGTGAATGTAGGGCGCCTGGGTGGCTCAGTTGGTTAAGCGACTGCCTTCGGCTCAGGTCATGATCCTGGAGTCCCAGGATCGAGTCCCGCATCGGGCTCCCTGCTCGGCAGGGAGTCTGCTTCTCCCTCTGACCCTCCTCCCTCTCATGCTCTCTGTCTCTCATTCTGTCTCTCTCAAATAAATAAATAAAATCTTTAAAAAAAAAAGTGAATGTAAAATTCAACTGAAAAAATAATTTGAAGATGGAACTGTAAGCATTAAGAGAAAATTTGAGTATGCAGGGGAAAATCCCTCCCCTTATTTTGTAAATCACTTCAAAATTCTCCAAGAACTATTCTCTTAAACTATATGAGCTATTTCTCTTAAACTCTAGAAATCCATTTAAAGTTTTTAATCAACGTATATGCCTCTTATTTTCTTCTCCCCTTCAAGGTAAGTATAAGCACAACAATGTCTTGCCAGAGGAGGTCCCACTGAATTCTACCTTACCATTACAATATTCCAGCTCAATCAGCAGAGTGGTATTGTCCATGAAGTGATTGTAGTAGGCAATAATATTGTCATGCTGCAGCAGAGCCAGAATAACAATCTCATTCAAGGCATCACGACGTTCCTTCTCCGACAGTCGGGTCAAATCAACTTCCTTCCACACAACCAGTGAGTCATCCTACAACACAGTAACAGAGGTATTGTGCTTTCCTCTAGCCTGGCAGAGAATGAATCCACACCTTGATCTGTAAGCCTAGAAAGAAAACTTCCTAGATGGGCAGAGACTGACTTCTTTTATTTTTTCCTTTAAAGAAAATGGGAACAGAATTTAAAGGTTCTTTATACAATTGAGCATTATAATTTACTACAGGACTGGGGAAAGTGAAGCACTAAGATCCTGTTACATTGTTGCTACAGTTAATTTACATGATGTCAATTCCAGGTAAAAATACGAGCTAGAGGAGCTCTCAAAAGATTCTATTGACAGACATCATGACAAAGGGCTAGTCATGATAAACACTGTAGTAGGGCTAGAATACTGGAGACCTGGAGAGAGTAGTTATCTAGAACTGACCATAGTTTCTTGTAAAATGGAAATATTAAACTTACCTCTAATTTTATAAATTTAGATTTCTCTAGTAATTTCTGTTTACGCTTTCTAGATAGGAATAAGTGATGCCTAAGGGCTTAGAGTTCACTTCCCTCACCTGCCCTATTTTGCAACTCTGTATCTCCTGTAACTTTTACATGTCACGTGTTTTCCTCTATCCCAGACAATTTATCTGCAGCTCCCAATATTCACTCTCTTTTGTAACACCCAAATTCTTTACTGATACTGCTCTCCATCCAGGCCAGGAGCATCCCCACCTAAATCACTCTCCCTATCCTTTAGAATGATTCTGCCAGGCCTTTAAAAAACTTTTTGGGGGGATATCCTGATAAACCTTCTACTGTGCATTTATTCAGTGCAACCATTCCTTCGTTTTCAGAACTCATACACTGATATGATATTTGTGCATCCTTTCTCATTTATATACACATACAACTTAAATGCTATTTTCTTACCAAGAGGGTTAACTTGTCTTCCCAGTGAAATATAACCTTCTGGAGGGAAAGGGCTGCTTCTAATCAAACCTTTGTTAATTCACAAACCTAATAAACATTTGGTGATATGGATAATGCTATGCCAATTTTGGGAAGTGTAATCAAATTTAACATAAACCAACCTCAGTAATCAAGTTCAACATGATGGAAAGGCATGGGCGAGATGTGAAACTCTGTTCTAGCCCAAGATTTACTTCTAATTTAAGTGTCAAGTGATTTAAATATACTGTCTTAGTTTCTTTAATTATAAAACAGAAATAGCAATGCTCATCTCCTCTTTTTCATACTATGAGTACAAGTAAGAAAAACAGATACTAACAATAACCCTAAAATCATACATTAATGTTGCCTTAAGATAAACACTTGAAGATTTTTTCTTGCAACCCCCCCTCCTCCATCTTTTAGCCTTAGAAATATGCTGACTTGGAACACACCCCAGAACTGCAGATGGATCACTTATGGATGAATCATCATCATCCAAAGTCTTCAAGTTTAAGACATTAGGGATCAAATCCAACTGATGGTTAGTTTTTGGAAGTAGAGTCACCACTACAGGGTTTCAGATCAGTATATGTTCTGAACTTGGGGGTCAGTGATCCACGAATCTCTCCAAAGGATCTGTATATATGCAATAGGGGATGGGGGAGGGAGGGATTACGTTTACATCAGGTTTTCAAAGGAGTCCTTCCTTGCCTCCCGCCAACCCAAGTTAAGAAACAGTGGCTTAGAATATATCAAAAAGGTATTTCCCATGCATAAACAGTGCCGGATAAACACTGATGAAGAAAGCAACGACGACCCAATGATCTTCTAGAAAAATCTCCAATTAAGTAAGTGTTCATACCTGAATTTAAAGATAACGGCAAAGACTGCGAAGTTGCCACTGACGTGGGAATTTTGAAGCTATGCCCCTCCTCTCCACCCCGACCTTGGAGAGTTATACACGAGAGGAAGGAAGTTTTGACAACACTTCACATTCGTATGCCACTTTAATTCACAGTTTGCAAAGTACCTTCGTTCGAGTCTCAAAATGAAACTTAAAAAATAAAGATTACTTTTAGGGTAGTTATCATTAACCCCAATTTACAGATGGGGAACCTAAAGCTCAGAGAAGGCTCAATGCCTTGCTCAGTTCCCCGGGTTCGACAGAAACGACCAGTCAGTAAAACCAGTGATCTAACAATTCCCAGTGCAGGTGAGCTGGAAGAATGGAGTAGACCCTGAGACATACACCCTGCGGTCACGCAAACCTAAGTGAGGACGAGGCGCAAGCCGCAGGCAAAGCCGGGACCGGGTCGGGTCTGGGAAGCGGGGCGGCGAAGGAGGGGCTGGGCCGGCCGGAGCCAGGGGCCGCTACCTCTGTGCGGCGGTACAGCGTGGCCTCCCCGAAGGCGCCGCGGCCCAGGATGCGGATGGGGATGTAGTGCAGCTCCTCCTGCTCCGCCGCGCCGCCGCCGGCTCGCTGCCCCGGGCCGGCGCTGGGCCCCGGGCCCGAGTCCCCGCCACCCCCGGACTCGCTCCCAAAGTCCGAGTTGATGGAATCGCAGTGTCGCTCGTACTCGCCCAGCACCGACATGATGACGGCTGCGGGACCGGCCTGCGTGTCCCCAGCGGCGCTGGCCGCACTACGACTCTCTCGCTTCAGTCGCCGGCCCGCGGCTCCGACAGCTCCGCAACCCAGCGAGGCTCCATGGTGGCTCCTTCCCCCTGACCCGGAAACAGTTCCTGGTGCTTCCGGCCCGGCGGGCTTTCCTCCGCCTTCGCTGGCCCACTTGCTTGGTCTCGCGGCCCCGGCTTCCCTCCCTCCGGGCGGGCGGCGCTTCACGGTCGCTGGGGTGCACGGCATGGAACCGAAGGCCTCTGGCCGCGGCAAGGGAGTCGCCGACCGGTCTGTAGACCCCATCCGCAATCCCTGGCCAGGTTCCAAACAGCTTCGAGGTCCAGAAGTCGCGCAGTCGCATCTTGGCGCCAGGCCTATCTAAAGGGCAGTGGTTCCACGTTGGACAGTGCTCTTTGTTTAGTGAGATACTGAAGGTACTATAGTAAGCAGAAATATTTGCCTCCTGTCATCTTAGTCAGTGGGCCCAGTTATTGCTCCCAGAACCACCCTAGGTCCCTCTTCTATACAACTCCAAAACCAAAATATTTTAAGTCAATTCTCCTGACACTCTTTTTCCAGATTTGACATTTTCCTTTCATGTATCTTTCCAAATCTTTGATCGTCTCATCTCAGGCAACATTCTTTGAGTACAAGTGCCAGTGTATTTGAGGGTGGGAAAGCTACAATAAGACTCTCCTTACCAGCAAGTCACTAAGAGAATTGTAATACAGTGAAAAAACATGTTCCATCAGCTACTGACCTTGGGCAACTTTACATCTCCAAGCTTCTTTTTAAATCTGTAAAGCTGTAGGAATATGACCAACATCACAGAGATTAACAGCTAACTTTTATTAAGTGTTATGTTCCTGACACTATGCTAAAGGTTTTCTTTCCTTGAGTCATCCCACTTAATCCTCCTATTATTCTCATTCTACAGAAGGAACTGAGATAACCCAGGTTAAGTAACCTGCTCAATGTTACACAGCTAGTAAGGGGAGCTGGGAGTAATCTGGATCCACATCATTCAGAGAGCATGTTCTGGGACTAAGAGAAAGTCATGTAGCTGAAGGCCAGGGTGTATGTGGGGTAGAAGCAAGAGAAGACAGGGCCTCAACTGTTGTGTTTGGCTTTCCTGTGGGCAAAAAAAAAAAAAAAAATTATTCAAGATTTTTAAGCAGGCGAGTATATTATTAGTGACAGCATGTCCTAATTTGCTGGGGAAGTCCCAGTTCATGCCTTTCCCCCAGGCATAACTAACAGAGCTTTATTTTGCTGAAGTCCGGGTCAGACAATAAACAATACAGTCACTTTACATAAGACCAAAGTTATATTTTACAAAGAACTGATAACAATGTGGAGGACAAAGACCAGAGGCAGGGAGACCAGTTAAGAGGCAATTTATATTCTAAGAAGAGAAGAGGCACTGAAGTATTTATCAGTGTGAGTAGAAAGGAAGTCCAGATTTGAGAAATCCATCTGAAGAACATTTTTTTTTTTTAACTTTTTAAAAAGATTTTATTTATGGGGCGCCTGGGTAGCTCAGTCATTCAGCATCTGCCTTCGGCTTGGGTCCTGATCCCGGGGTCCTGGGATCTAGCCCCACATCAGGCTCCCTGCTTGACGGGAGGCCTTCTCCCTCTCCCGTGCCCCCTTGCTTGTGTTTCTGCTCTATCTCTCTGTGTCAAATAAATAAATAAAATCTTTAAAAAAAAAGTTTTATTTATTTACCTGAAAGAGATAGGGGGAGAAAGCACAAGTGGGGTAGAGGGGAGAGGGAGAAGCAGTCTCCCTGCTGAGTAAGGAGCCTGATGCAGGGCTTGATTCCAGGACCCCAGGATCATGACCTGAGCCCAAGGCAGACGCTTAACGGACTGAGCCACCCAGGCACCCCCCATCTGAGGAACATTTAGAACTTTGTGATCAGCTGGGATGTGGTTGATGAGGTAAATGTGAGTCCAGGAGATTCACTCTGTGATTTTTAATGAGGTGGATAGTGATAGCAAGGAGAGGATAAAGACACCTGGTAGAATGGGTTAGGGGAGTTGTGAAGGATGAGTTCACACTCCTATGACCTCTCTACAGCTTGACCCTTGTAAAGTATGATATCCTACACTCTGCATAACATTCCACATTGGCTCTGAATAGGAGAGCACACGGGGACTTCTGTCTCCCTCGATCTGGATCTAATACTTCTATTAGTATACTAGCCTTTATAATGATGGTCTGCTTATACCATACTTGTACATTATGAAGCCTCTTTTCCACATCCAAAGCAATCCAAAGTAACGCAGCTCTCCCACTAGATCACATCACTTCTTTGCAATGCTTATCTGTAAAATACTGATGTCTTGTTATGTTCTTTATTGACTATCTCCATTCATTAGAATGTAAACGTCACAAGAGCCTGGATTTTGTACTCATTTACAACTATGCATCAGTGCCTAGAAAAATACTCGATATTATAGGCTTAAAAATTATTTGATGAATAAACATCAGGTTATTATCACCTACATATAGAACATTGTTAAAACCTAAATGCAAGGGGCGCCTGGGTGGCTCAGTCGTTAAGCGTCTGCCTTCAGCTCAGGTCATGATCCCAGGGTCCTGGGATCGAGTCCCACATCAGGCTCCCTGCTCCGCGGGAGGCCTGCTTCTCCCTCTCCCACTCCCCCTGCTTGTGTTCCTGCTCTCGCTATGTCTCTCTCTGTTAAATAAATAAAATCTTTAAAAAAATAAAAATAAAAAAACCTAAATGCAAGCCCGATTGATAACTCCTATCATATTTTATTTTGTTGGTTTCATTCCAGTATGCCAGATTATACAGATATTTTTACATTTTTCAATTAATTCATTCAACAAACACTGAGTGCCAACTTGTGCCAGGTGCTGAGTTACAGCAGAAAACAAAATAACGTGGTTCCTACTCTCATGGAGCTTACAGTCCATATAACAAATCAGTGCTATAGTAAGTATAAGCTTCTAGAAAGGTATTTAGGAGGATCATCTTTCCAAGCCAACTTGCTGGGTTGGTGAAGTCTTCCTGGAGAAATAAGCAAAATGTTAAGTCAGTGATGGCTAACCAAAGTAGGAAGATCATTCTGGATAGAGGCCATTTCATCTACCTCCGCCTATTCATTACAAGGCACTTTGAGGATAGGTATTGCTTTTTATTTATCTGAGTCTTCTCCAGAGTTTAGCTCAGCATATTAAAAAGAATGTGTGTTCAATAAATGTGTTTTTTTTCAGTTAAAAGAATGGAAAAAATAATTAAATTCAAAAGTAAATAGGTTTCAGCCACAGCTTATTTTTTCTGGCATCTCTGCCATGAGGAATGATAGTTTTCTGTAGCTTGGTTAGCCTGGTATTATAAATTGTTTTAGTTATAATGCACAGATACAAGCTTAACAGACAAATGTCCTGTTCTCTCAGAGAATACAGAACAGAAACACTCATGCTCAGTTCTTCATTATACTGGATATATATGAAACATCTGGCCTTTGAATATTCAAGTCCACAAATACTGAACATTCTAAAGGTATAACTGATTTCAAAATGCCTTTGGACAAAAATGGGTATTTCCATGTTATATTTTAACAAGGAAATAGTTAGGATGCTATATAGCAGCAGTTCCCAGTTGTGAATGACAGATCCCTGGGTCCATAGAGTCACTGTAAAGATTAAAAAATCTACCAAAGTACCAAGCAAAGTCTGTACCTTCACTTTCCAATATGGTAGCCTCTAGCTACATGCAGCTATTAAACACTTGAATTGTGGCTAGTCTGAATGGAGATGTGTTGTAGCTGTAAAATGCACACTGGACTTCGAAGACTTTATATGGGGGTAAAAAAGTAAAATATTCGTGGGGTGCCTGGGTGGTTCAGTCGGTTGGGTGTCTGACTTCAGCTGGGGTCATGGTCTTGGGGCCTGCTTCTCCCTCTGACCCTCCCACTGCTCATGCTCTCTCTCGCTCTCTCTCTCATAAATAAAATCTTAAAAAAAAGTAAAATAGTCATTAATCATTTTTATATTGACTACATGTTGAAATGCTATTTTGGATATGTAAGGCTCTATTATTAAAACTAATTTCGCCTGTTTCTTTTTACTTTATGGTGGTACTAGAAAATTTAAAACTACACATGGGGTTTATGTTATGTGGGATACCACTACAGCAGACTGAATAATAATATGCAGAACACATACTACCATTTAACAAGTATATGATACTGTTGAGACTATTAAGTTCATTTAAAAGTTTTGCTGAATTCATTCATTGTTTATGTTCTCTAAAAGTAAATCATCAGTGAGAATTAAGACAATTAAAAAAAATTTTTTTTTAAAGATTTTATTTGACAGAGACACAGCGAGAGAGAGAACACAAGAAGGGGGAGTGGGAAAGGGAGAAGCAGGCTTCCTGCAGAGCAGGGAGCCCGATGCGGGGCTTGATCCCAGGACCCCGGGATCATGACCTGAGCCAAAGGCAGATGCCTAATGACTGAGCCACCCAGGCGCCCCAAGACATTTTTGATATTAGTTATACTCAATTTGTGAATCCCTACTTTATAGACTTTATAGATTCACCAACAAATTTTGTTTTTTGGGGGAATGGGGGTTGAGGATAAATAAGATGCCAGCCTGTGAATGTGCAAAGCACTTCAGGTTGACTCTTGGAAAGGAGCTTTATGAAAAATATTCAACTGTAAGTAAAAGGAAGGAGAAAAATGGCCCTAACCTGCTGGGTTGGGTTTTAAAGATTTTATTTATTTTTCAACAAAGAGAGAGAGACAGTGAGAGAGGGAACACAAGCAGGGGGAGTGGGAGAGGGAGAAGCAGGCTTCCCGCTGAGCAGGGAGCCCGATGTGGAACTTGATCCCAGGACTCTGGGATCATGACCTGAGCTGAAGGCAGACGCTTAACGACTGAGCCACCCAGGCGCCCATGGGTTGGGTTTTATACAGATATGATGGGCAAAAAAACAAGTCCTGAGAGGTTCTGAATTGGGAGGGGAATTTTAAGAATGGAGGGTAAGGGAGAGGACACTCTAGGACTAATTCCAATAGCAGTTTCCAAAAGAAGCTACAGAAAATGCTTGGCTTACATAACCCTATTTTGCCTTTCTGAAGATGTTAATTATTATGATTATGTTTATATACACATATTATATAGCTTACATACTTACAAAATATAATAAAATTGTATTAGCTCAAATAAACTTTATCCATCTGTAGTAAATTACATACAACCTTTTCTCTAATTTATCATGGATAATTTGCCATACTTTAAAACTGAAGAATATGGAAGAATTATTGCCAATTCAGACAAAGAGATACTCAAGAGGAACAGAAAAATACACCTAAAATGGTTTCTGCTAGCATTTATTTGAGAAAATTTACACAAAAATCCCCAGTCCAACATTTACAAGTGAATCTGTAGAAATCCCACATGCCTCTTTCCATTAAACAAACAGGAAAATGGCTTATGACAGGAGTTTATGACGATGATATAACAGCACTTAAACTGTATCATTCCTATCTATATTATATAGACTGTGTTGAAAAGGCTCAAAATGGAGGAAAGCAGATAAAATCCCCATTTTTAAAGCTGATTTACTCTTGCACTAGCCTTCTATCAAAGACAAATAATTTTTACTTTTTCGATAAAATCAAGGTGTAATTATCAATGAACTTTAAACTGAAAGCACAAATGTCTGAGTTGGTATTTTCGTCATGAAAGTAAAAGGGAAGGACATGGAAAAAATCCCAGTTTCACAAAGTCACATTCAGGAACAAAAACATCAGTAAAATAAAATATTCTCCTCTATCTTCTTCTTTGCCATTTTGTCAAAACAGAAGAATATAACCAAGTTAAGAACTGTCATTGCTTCTGAAAAAGGGGAAAGGCACCAGTCAGAAATATGAAAGTTTCTTATTAGGCTAATGGTACAGAACAAAATTTGACCTTTAGATCCCTAAAAATGGATCTGACCCACAAATTTGGTTATTCTCTTCCCTACTGGGATGTATCCTCCGTCATCTACTATATGTAATACCATAGGTGGACTTTCTCAACATCCACTGTCCTTATGTTGAGAATTTGGTCGCCAGTCTCAGAAGCCGTACCTATCAATTCCTACCAGCAGATGGCAATGTTGCACAAATTAATGAAAGAACCACTCGGCCAGGCCGGAGGAATTCACACAAGGTGGGG